TAATGTAATTTATTGGAAATCTAGAAAACAAAAAAGCGTTACAAAAGCTTCAACTTTTGCAGAGTATGTAGCATTGTCAGAAGCAGTAAGTGAATTGATATTTGTAAAAGAATTGTTGAAAATATTTGATATTGAAATAATAAAGCCAATTGATGTTTATGAAGATAACACTGGTACAATTAGTATAGCTAATTATGGCAATTTTACAAAAAATTCTAAGCATGTTGAAATTCATTATCATTATGTAAATGATTATGTTAAAGCAAATGTTATAAATGTGGTTAAAGTAGATTCTGATGATAATATTGCAGATATTTTTACGAAGTCCTTGGGCCAAGATAAATTTGAAAAATTTCGAAGTATGTTAAATTTGAATTAATGTAAATACAATGTAAATGTAAGGAGGCGTGTTGAGAATGTAATACATTTATATTGTATACACAGATATATTGGTGTAAGAGTAAGCGGAACGCACCCATAGTGTCATGGGTTGACATGACAGACAATAATAGTAATGTTAATGAGTATCATGTAGTTGTAGGTGGTAGTAAGAAGTATGGTGGCTTAAGTTAGGTTAGTTAATTAGTATGTATGTTATAGGAAATAAAGCCTTTTATAATAGTAGTAAAGTACGACTATTTATTTTCCAAATCCACACCTTAACAATAATATCCTGTTGTAGTACAGTATCAATGTCAGGATTTATTGGCCATACAAATTTGTTTCCTTGAGGTCGTGTAAATTTAACAATTTACAATTCCCACATAATGCTTGTTATTTCTTTTTTGGGCAATATTTTACCAATGCCCAACATCCGACATATACATTCGCACTTTTTGTTGAATTCAAATTCTCTTCCTCGTCATTATTTGCATCTATTTCTACCTCTGGCTCTGATTTCAAAAGTGTAAACGGAAACTCGTCGGTGTTATCAGAATCCATGAATATTGGGGACATTGACTCATCGTCTTCACTGCTGCTAAATGATAATGACTCTCGTTTATTTCTTTTTTTGGAATTTGCCTTAATTATCTTATGAATTTTAGTACCGTTTCCTTTTTGTTGAGATTTCTGGTTTAAAACATCAATAGCTTGTTGTGATGTCAATACTTCAGATCCAGGGCACAACCGTTCACAACCATTACCCTGAAAATCAGTACCTGGTGAAGCTATCCATTGATCCCATAAGTGCAAATCTTTATAAATTATTAATGGTGGAGCGTTCTGGTCAGCTACATTACACATAAGAGCAATTGTGGTATTTTCTTTACAAGGAGAACTAATTGTTCTTGATGAAGGTATATTTATACCTCCCACAACTTTTGTCTTCCTGGGGTCAATGCACAAGCTACTCTCGTCCAAATCACAGATTCTCTCAGGTTTGTCGTGAAGACCATATTCGTCCATTATTGATTTTAATAAATCATAAAACTGGTATATTATAAAAGGATCAAGTGCCACTTTTCGAGAGTATTCCAGCTTTTTTGGAACTTTGATACTTAATCTATGCCTCTGTTTAAACCCCAAAAAACCATTCTTCGCCTGGAACTTCATCCTTGAAATTAGTTTCAATATGGTTAGTTTTTACAAAGTTTCCTACAATTTCTAATACTTCTTTCCTTTATAGGCAGTATCCCCATTTCTCCATCGTTTTAGACCATTGGCTAATCTAACTTCGTCAGCAGTAGAAATTGACGTTGGACGTCCTGTAGTTGCTTTTACTGCTCCTCGTTTACCTTTTACATGGGAATGTAAAGCCACATATGGTATTTTGTATAATTTTGCTGCCTTATAAATTGATGTTCGACCTGCTAAAACATCAGACATTGCTGAGTTGAGATCAGCTGCCAAATATTTGCTTTCATTTGAAGTTTTTCGTTTGTAGCAGCGAACCATGGTATCTATAACAAAAAATAAACCTTGTAAAACTTGCCACTGTTTAAATATTTTAAATTCAAGGATTTATATACACGGGGTAAATGTGATATACTAATTACACATTTGCCCCAATCTGCAATAATACATTTACCCCAACAACACAATTTGAAGGGGCAAATGTGTTATAACAAAAATTTGAGGTTAATGTTAAGTTTTTATTTAAATAACCTACACCATAATGTTCTCCGAAACTAGAATAAACTGCTATGTCAATTAAAATTATAATAATAGTCTTACTTACCGAAAAAATAATATAATACTTCACGAACGGGGTAAATGTACATATAACAAATTCTGTGTTGAATTCGAACACACTCGTCGGATATCCCTACTCAACTAAAATCTATTTTTGGATTTACTAGTTTCTAGTGGTGGCTCACTAGACTAACATATTTAAGGTCCCGTCTAATAGGTGGCACACTCGTAATTATTTAAATAGCCATTTTTAAATGCACTATTACAATTGCCCCATTATCACATATACCCCACTTCACCTTATATTGTTTAATTGAATTCCTGTTGGGACAACATTTATTTTTTATTAGTTTTACATATATTTCTGTCTTGTTACTATTTATTAAATATCATGTGTTTTAAACCTTGAAAGTATAAAACTTAAACAAGATTTAATTTGTGTTATTTCATTAATTAACTAGGAGACAGAAAATAAAAAAATAGTCATTTTGACAAAGCAAAGCAGTTAAGTACATATATCTGGATAAACATTCACCAACATTTTAAAAATATGTGAAACACTGATGTGGATCTTTTTGTTTAAGCTTTTTTAATATTATGTAGGTACCTAGAACATGGATAGCTAAAAGGAGGTTTATTTACTTGCTAACAGTTGTAGTTCAAATTAAAAAAAAATCAATAGGTTATATTGCAAAGTTGAAAAAGGTTTACCAAATTTTGTAACAAGCCACTTGAATGTTGTTTGAGATCCTCATATTGGTATGAACTAAGTATAACACGAAGTTATCAAGCACACCATTTTGTACATGAAATATCTTTTGTGATGTGAAAGGTGAAATAAACATACACTTATACTTCTTAAAATTTTATTAAAACAGATAAATACAAGTTTATCCATTTCCACACCACAGTATTCTTTAGAGAAATGCTGTAGGATAAATGGCGCATTAACTTTTTTTTATTATAGTGGAAAGTTTTGCCAGTAGCCTTATTATATCCACTGACTTCAAAAAGTCCAAGATATTTACTGGAACAGTTTAGAACATTTTTCTGATCTACTTAAAGGACTTTTTATAAGCCAACAAATGAACATTGCTTTAAAATTGTATCAGAATAGTTCATTAATTAATAATTTATAAATGTGTTTGAATACTTTTTTTCTTCTCGGAATCCACCTGTTTAATATAGGCAAATGTCCAGCATCCTTTATTTAGCTGTCAATAACCTAAAACATAAAAATACATCAAAATAAAATATTATACTTCCTTTTTATTACATACTTATCTATTCCATTTGCTCTTTCTCCGCAATGCAAATTTGATTAATCATTTTTGAAAAATAAATTCTCTGCAATTTTTCTAACAATGAATTTGCAAATAGCTGATCAAATGGTGTAACAATATTTGCAAAAGAATTTGAAAATTTTGAGTAGAAGATGAAATCGCATTTTGCCAAATTAAGAATATCCATCAGTGAAAGCAGTGAAAATATTAAGTTGTCACGTCACTAAGGACTAAGGCGTAATGCGTAAGGCGTAAGTCTGTCTCTAGTCTCTGTTCTCTGTCAATAATTTAGTAATTTCTCCGATTCAAATTCATAATAGGCAACTTACATTACGCGGCTCAGAGTAGTGGATCAGGCTCTAGATCTAGACACTATTATTAGTAATATTAAAAAAACATATGCAATCAAAAGCAATAAGATATTTAAAAATTAATACCTTAGAATTACCAAAAGAAGGAAATAGTAAATAGTTTTAAAATTATTGTTAAAAGTAAGTAGTAAAATGTCATTGAAGCTTCTGACTCTATTGCCAAATCTATCCGCTAATTTATCAAAGTGCGATTGCCAAACAAATTTTCTAATAATTAATTGAAATTATTATCAAAAGAATCAAATATTGATTTATTAATGTTTTATAAAAGTTATAAAATTGCAGAATCCATAAAATAATATAATACAAATATGCGTTTTAAAAGCTTTCTCTCTTTGTATTTGAAGCATATAACATACACATTATACGAATATGGCAACACCGTAAACACTATATTTCGTTCTGTGAAACAATTGACAAGTTGAAAACTCATTTGAGGCTATCTTCACTGGGGCCAAATGAGAAAACGTCCATTTTTTAAACCTTTCATTTTAAAAACATTTTAATACGTACTTATAAATAAACGTTGGGACGTTTTTCACATTTGGTCCCACTGAATATAGCCTCAAATGGGTTTGACAGAATGAAATATTGGTGTTTGGCAGTGTTGAAATTTACATTACAAATGAAACATATGCAATCAAAAACAATAAGATATTTAAAAACTAATACTTAACAATTACCAAAAAAGAAAAAGTAAATAGTTTTAGAACAGTTCTTAAAAGTAAATAGTAACCTATCAGTATAAATAATAAAGTTAAAAAGACATTTGTTGCAATCTGTAAACTTGTGATTTCTGAGTCTATGGCCAAATCTATCTACTAACCACTAACATATATAACATATCAAAGGGCAATTGCCAAACAAATTTTCTAATAATTAATTGCAATTAATATCAAACAAAACAAAAATTTTTTCAATATTGTTTTATATATGTTATAAGATTGCAGAGTCCATAAAATAATATAATAAAAATGTACATTTTAAAAGCTTTATCTCTTTGTATTTGAAGGATATAACATAGACATTCTAAGAACATGGCAACACTGCCAACGCAATATTTCGTTCTGTGAAACTTAATTGACAAACAGCTAATTTGAGGCTATCTTCACTGGGACCAAATGTGAAAAATGTCCTAAACGTTGTTTTAGGGGGGCTATGATTTTTAAATGCTAGAATAGAGATCGTGGTTGAACGCCAAAAAGTGTAAGACCAGGGATAAAAATTAGATTGACAACTGACTGCCGGCAGCGTGATTGCCGATTGCCATTTTGATAGTAGTTTGAAGGTTGGAATGAATGTGATTTTAAAAAATAATTTTGATTAAGTAATAAATTAGTAAAGCAAAGACATCAAAAATGATTCGTATAAATAGCAATATATTAAAAAATATTTCAAGATTATTAAAGGTAAGTGTCATGTCAAATATTTAAATCTTATTTCTTAAAACTGATATATTTCAGAACTTTGCATATTTTCTAATATACTAGAACTTAAGTCATAGTATATTGGATATTTATTGTGAACTTAAACCATTTAATTGTATGAGTTATATTTGGTCTTAGCTGATTTTAGCTACAAGGCTTCGTAGCTTTTTGCCAAGCAATATTTATTAATTCTTTCTGTTGAACAAGTCTCCAGCATCCTATTGTTATAGAATATTTTTGTCTTTTATGATTGTGATTAGTGAAAATCTTAAACTTGAGAAAATACTAAGTATAGTGATAAGAAACTATATCTGAGGAGAACCATTTTGCATAATTGAAAATGAAACATAGAATTTATAAATCACAGGATTTTCTGACATTATTTATGAATTAATCCAGTATATGTATACAATATCATTTTGTATTTTTATTGGTTCTTTGTACACAGGTGTTACTTCTTTCACTGATCTCAATTTTATCTCTACATGACGATCTTATGTTATTTAAAAAACTATTTTATATTATATCCTTAAACCACTCTTTCTGCATCTTGTTACATAATTAATATTAATATCTATATTTTAGAACAACCCCAAATGTATGTCCACTTACGAAAAATATGCAGAACACAAAGATATTACAAAAATTAGAAATATTGGAATATCTGCTCACATTGATTCTGGAAAAACAACCTTAACAGAAAGAATACTTTATTACACTGGACGAATCGAATCTATGCATGAAGTTAAAGGTAAAGATAATGTTGGTGCTACTATGGACTCTATGGAATTAGAAAGACAAAGAGGTATTACTATTCAGTCAGCTGCTACATACACATTATGGAAAGAACATAATATTAATATAATTGATACTCCTGGACATGTAGACTTCACTGTAGAAGTAGAGAGAGCTTTAAGAGTATTAGATGGAGCTATTCTTGGTAAGTTTATTTATTGAATTATGAATGATGGAATGTTTTAGCATGCATGATGGCAATGTCTTTTTAATATGTTTTTTTTATTTTCAGTGCTCTGTGCTGTTGGAGGTGTACAAAGTCAATCTTTAACAGTAAACAGACAAATGAAGAGATATAATGTTCCATGTTTAGCATTTATTAACAAACTCGATAGATTAGGAGCTAATCCAAAGAGAGTACTATCACAAATGAGATCCAAAATGAATCATCATGCAGCTTTTGTACAATTGCCTATTGGTGTTGAATCAAATTGTAAAGGTATTATTGATCTGGTAGACCAAAAGTCAATTTATTTTGATGGTAGCTTTGGTGATCAACTTCGTTATGATGAAATCCCTAAGGAAATGAGAACAGAAAGTGACGAAAAAAGACATGAACTGATAGAACACCTTTCTAACTGTGACGAGCATTTTGGAGAATTGTACATTGAAGAAAAACCAATAACAGAGGCTGATATAAAGGCAGCCATTAGAAGATCTTGCCTTAAAAGAGCTTTTACTCCTGTCTTTGTGGGAACAGCCCTGAAAAACAAAGGGGTTCAACCATTGTTGGATGGAGTCTTAGATTATCTACCTCATCCTGGTGAAGTTAGTAACTATGCTCTAAAAGAAAAGGAAGGGGAAGATGCTCAAAAAATTGTATTGGATCCTTCAAGAGATGGGAAAAAGCCTTTTGTGTCATTGGCATTTAAGTTGGAAGCTGGGAGGTTTGGCCAATTAACATATATGAGATGTTATCAGGGAAAACTTCAAAAAGGTAAGTTAAATAAAAATAAATAATTGGAATCAAATCCAATCAAAATGAATCAATTGGAATAGAATCGAATCTAGTGGTATTGACTCAAAACTGATTAAGAGAGCTATACTTTTCCTTCTTGGTCACTCCAGTAGTGATCCGTTTTTGTATTTACTTTCTTATGCAGAAAGCTATGCTTTTCCTTCTTGGTCACTCCAGGACTGATCCATTTTTGTATTTACTTTCTTATGCAGTAATAATGAAGGTCTATTAAAAGTATGTATATCTCATCCAGTAGTAATGACATACAGGTACAGATAGAATATACAGTAGACTCGCAATTATCTGAGCCCCTTGGTTAAAGAAAACAAAAGTTGTAACTGGTGAGTCATAATATTGCAAATAGTTATGCACTGTTTGGCACGGAAGACCATGTTCTCAGCCATGACCATGACAAACTTCTAAGGCGTTGTTCTTGTGGTCTTCACAAATGAAAGGATTTGGTGGCTCGGTAAGTGGCCCAATACACCAAGCAAAAACTATTGCATTCCACAAGAAGTTTATGGATGAAGGTGAAAACTTTTGTGCTAGTAAGGGATCAATTGACTCATAGAAGAAAAAATATGGTATATGACAATTAAATTTTTATGGTGAAAAACATTTTGCTAACTCGACTGAAATTGGAATATTTTATTTAAAATTACAAGAGATTATCATTAAAGATTGACTCACTAAAAGCTTCCTTCGAAAACACTAGCCGCTAAAAATGAAGGAATTGCATGAGATTACAAGAAAAGCAAGGATAGCTTTTTCAGGATAATAGTCAATGGAGTAGTTATCAATAACATTCAATATGCTGACGATACTGTAATAATGGCAAGAAAAGCGGAAGATCTACAACATCTAGGTGAAAATATGAATGAGATATGAACCCTCATCAATGAAACAGGTGACCAAAATCACGAGATAAAAAGACGTACTGAAATTGCCAGGTCTACCTTTATAAAAATGAATGGCTACTGAACAGGCTGGATGAACGGCTTACTGTAATTGACACAATGATGAAGATCACTGTTAAAGATGTTTGCTATTGGATTGCATCTGATTTAGATAGAAAACAAAACACTGGATCTTCAAAAAGAAACTGATGACTATGAAGTTGATACTCTAGCCAAACTAGCCCATCAGAAACCAAGACGTCACCAATTGGATGAATGGAGATGAAGAAGTAAAACTGACAGATGACGCAATTGCCGATCTAATTCTAAACATCAACCATGAAGAAGAAGATACAGATGAAATATCTCGAGGGATCTCTCATTCCGATGGGTTAAAGGCCCTTGAAGCAGTTCTTGCATACATCAAACAGCAAAAAGAATCGACGCCTGTAGACGTCCTTCATGTTTAACGTTAACATATCATTGCCACTTCAAAAAGAGGAATGAAGCTTACAGCTTACAAGCAAAAATCAATCAAAGACTTTTTTAAATCGTAATATTAATAAGATAAATATTTTTATCTACCTTACTGTACTTACTTATCGTCATTTACAGTGTTTTTCTATCTGTACAACAAATCTTACATTTTATAAATTAAGTATGTTATAATTTATTAAAACTCTATATATTTATTATAGAGTATTGTGACTGCATAGATTTTTTGTTTTTAAATAATTTCTATTGATCTTTTTTAGGAGATAGCATCTACAACATGAGAACTCAAAGAAAAGTAAGAATTGCTCGACTCATTCGTTTACATTCAAATAACATGGAAGATGTTAATGAAGTTTATGCTGGAGATATATTTGCCTTATTTGGAGTAGACTGTGCTAGTGGAGATACATTTGTAACTGACCCTAAATTAGATCTATCTCTAGAATCAATATTTGTACCAGAACCTGTTGTATCTATGGCAATTAAACCTGTAAACTCAAAGGACAGAGATAACTTCTCAAAAGCTGTTGCTAGGTTTACCAAAGAAGATCCAACTTTCCATTTTTACTATGATGATGACAGCAAAGAGACAATTGTATCCGGTATGGGTGAACTTCACTTGGAAATTTATGCCCAGAGGATGGAGAGGGAATATAATTGTCCAGTTAGTATAGTCAATTAGTATTTATAATTTTCTCTTAAATGTTCTTGCAGTAGATAAATTTCAATATAGATAAGTAATATATTAATAATAATACATTTTATTTTAGGTGTCGATAGGAAAACCAAAAGTTGCCTTTAGAGAAACGTTAGTCTCACCTTGTGAGTTTGACTATCTTCACAAAAAGCAATCTGGTGGTCAAGGACAGTATGCTCGAGTTACAGGGGTTCTAGAACCTCTACCACCTCACAGAAATACTCTTCTGGAATTTACTGATGAAACAGTAGGTACTAATGTTCCAAAACAATTTGTACCTGGTGTTAAAAGAGGTTACTTGGAAATGGCACAAAAAGGATTGCTTGCAGGCCAGAAACTGTCAGGGTTAAAGTTTAGACTCATAGATGGTGCTCATCATATGGTGGACTCAAGTGAACATTCTTTCTTCCTGGCAGCTCAAGGTGCCATTAGAGATAGTAAGTATATATTAAAGTGGTATATACTTAACATTGTAAATTGTAACAAGAAACTAAACCAACAATGAAGAATTATAAAGAAATATAAGTGTGTGGGGTATAAGTGAGAATAAAATGGGATACACATCTTCTTTTCTTCAAAATACATTTTACTGCTGTCAGAAAATATACAAAAAATGTTTATTTGGCAAATAAAAAAGATTTCCTTAAATTTTCAAATTGCTACCCACCTGCAGTACCACACCATATTGACCATTTATTTAAATTGTGAAAATGTTCCTAAGTTTTATTATGAATTTCCAATCTGCTTAATTCATTTTGTTTAATCTTGTAAAATTTGTGATAAAATTTAAGAGCAACTTTAAAACTACCTCACAATTTATATTGTTCAAAAAACTCTCATAGCAGAGATTGTAATACTAAAACACACATTTATAGCTGTTTTGTTGATTTGACACAATCTATTTCCTTTAATTAAAGATTATGTTCAACTTTAAATATGTTTTGTATACAGAGACAACGAAAACATTGCATAACTGGATTAATATAAGTTTCTATAGAGCATCTAACTTTATTAATATAAATAAATTAAGGAATAAGTTTTCCTTCAAAGGTAACAATGATCATTTGACGAGGAACATGTTCCATATTGTTATCTTTTTGGTTATCATAACTCTAGTCATGCGTTTTACTTTTTTAATAGGTACACTAGAATTAATCATTTGTAGGAGGGTCTCTTCGCTGTAGGAAGTATCTACTGAGCGCACTAACCCGCGTTGTTCTATAAGAAGGCCCCGGAAGATATGCAAGTAAATTATTCTTTTCAAAGAATGGATCTTTAACTAATTTATTGGTGCCCGAATTTAGTTCGATTTTTATATGATTGCGAGCAACCGTACTAATTTCAATAATATTTTTATCATACTCTTTTAGATTTACTAACTTTTCACTTAATTTCATTGGATGTAATCTCCCAATATTTAATTCTAAATGTTCAACAATAACACGAAACGGTCCCAAATCGTTAGGTTTAAATCTATTTGTTCATTGATTTAATAAACGTTGTTTATCATAATACGAGTTTTTGTCGGATTCCAAGTTTTTGTCTAGTGAATCGGTACAAGATAATTCATTTAATTGATTATTATGTTTATTGTTTATACATGAACTCATATTAATGTCTTCATGTACAATGATATCCTCAACAAAAACATTGACTTGATTATCTTTATTAAAATTACCATTCGGCGGCCCCTTCCCGCTGGTGGATGAACTGTTTTCTTCGGACATCGGTCCGGGGCAGAAATGTTAAAAAAATCAAAATTTACTTATAGTATTTTTCCTTTTAAACACAAACTTAATATACTTATAACTAATAATGAGAACCAAATAATCTACAAACAACGATGCCACTTCGTATAGTGTATGATAGCACGTCTTTACTAGTCAACAGTCGGAGTACGAATGAAACAATAATTATGTTAATGTTTATATTACTGCAGAGAGAATTTAATATTCTTTCAAATAATCTAAAACACGACCCCTAACCTCATTTAAAAAAATCAACAATTCCTTAAAAAATCATCACAAAGTCATTCGCTTCTCAAAAAAACGAATTTATTCTATAATTTTGCCCCTCACTGTATATAAATTATTTTCAAGAACTATCCATAATGGTAGATTTTAAATAACAGATACCCTTTTTTGTTGCAGCATTTGAGAATGGCGTCTGGCACGTCCTTGAACCAATCATGGCTGTTGAAGTAACGGCTCCAGATGAATTCCAAGGGGCAGTCATAGCTCAAATAAACAAGCGACATGGAATAGTTACTGGTACTGAAGGTACCGAAGGTTGGTTCACAGTTCACGCGGAAGTACCGTTAAACGAAATGTTTGGTTATGCAGGTGAATTGCGTTCAAGTACGCAAGGCAAAGGAGAATTCACAATGGAATATTCAAGGTATTCGCCTTGCTTACCAGAAGTACAAGAGAAACTTATTATGGAATATGAAAAATCCATGGGAATTGTATCTGACAAGGATAAGAAAAAGAAGAAGAATTAACGGGATGGTTCGTTTAGGAAAAATTATTTATTGTCCAGTGTAAGTTAAAGAATTTTTGATATGTTTGCATAGAGCATTGCAAAGCGTACCAAAACTCCAAACATTGACACTGTTAGATACTTCTGTCAGTAAAACGGTTTTTATTTTTATTTATTTTCAAGCTGGTTAAAGTTACTTAAAGTTAACTTTATTTGTCTTTTCTTCTATGATGTAAAATATAACGCATTATGCAATGCAAATAAAAATATCTGTCAATGTTTGTATACCATATACATTGTAAGACTAATTTTATTTGTAATCAGTTTTCATAATTAAATACTGAATGTTTGTGAAGCATTGACATGAGATAATATATTGACTTACATATTGTAAATAATAGAAAATTGTGATATAATTTTAATAAATTTTTTGTTATACAATTATTTTTATTATATCGGGGGAGGTTCAGAAGAAATTAAATGTGTAGATAAGGATATCAGAGAATTTGCTGAGAAACAATATCTGGAAGAAAAACAGACTGCTAATTGGAAGGAATAGAGTAGACGTTGTATCGTAATAGTTTTAAAGAAATAGAAAAAAGTGCGGCGCACAAAACTAAAAATTGCACATTTTAATTATGAAACCAGTCTATTTGCACGAAGTATATATAAGCGGGGGTCCTACAGCTTCTGCCGCTTCCCGCATTTCGATCGCCATCTTTTTCTCTCTCCATGTGTCTTCATCAATGGCTCTGTCTTTCATGGTTACCATAACACCTTGTATCCAAGACTTGGCTGGTCTTCCTCGTTTCCTTCTATTACTTGGATTGTATTCCAAAGATCTTTTTGGCCATCTGTTGTCGTCCATCCCCTGTAAGTGTCCATACCATATTAACTGTCTAGTTTCTATTCTTTCAGAAGTTGTATGTACTATATCTGTTTTTCTTCTAATTTCAGAATTAGGTATACGTTCTACTCTTAATATACGGCAAGCTCTTCTCAGGTAATCCATTTCAACTGTGTCAACTTTTTTCTTTCCTTTTACTGTCATTTGCCAACATTCTCCTCCATATGTAAGAATGGGCTCTACAATTACTTTGTAGATAGTCATTTTAGTTCTCATAGTAGCTTTGTTGGACCAAAGTATCGAATTAAGAATTTGAACACTCTTCCTGCTTTGTTGCACTCTATAGTCTATATCTCGTTCCGTTGTTCGTTTACTAGAGATAATACTTCCCAAATATTTGTATTCGTGGCACCTTTTCATTTGTCTAATTTCCAAATCCGGGTCTTCGTCTTCACTGTCTATTCGCATATATTCTGTTTTTGACATATTCATACTCATCCCCCATTTTTCGTATTCATCTTTGAGCTTTCTAAGCATATAATCTGCATCTTCTTCACAACTTGCAATTAGTACTTGATCATCTGCAAAGAACAGCGTTGTCAGATAATGGTTGTTAAGCTTCAACCCCATTCCCGCACATTTTTGTCTCCACTGGTGCAGTGCTTCTTGTGATATATATTTTGAATAGGGTGAGGGAAAGAAAACATCTTTGTCTCAAGCCTTTCGTTACTGTAAATACCATTGAGAAAACACGAAGAAGTAAGTAAAATATATCATCTGTATGAAAAATCAGTAGCCCTCTTTAATAAACACTGGGCGCTGAATCGGGCCTATATGGAGGATGATTAGATTGTTGCCAGCCAAATAATGCGATGAAATTTTTTGTTTATTTCTACGTTGAATTACATCAAAATGATCTCCATACCCAGCATGTAGTGCCTTTTGTCTTGAATTGCACCTCCTTCCTGTCCCAAACATGTTTTTCGAGACTGAAAGTATCTACTTAGGATTTCACTATCTTGGATATTGTCCAATACATCCAGTCCAGTGTCCAGTACAATATATTCTAAGCATTATGTCGTTTTGGGTGTAGGCCACCCATGTAACATTATCTGTGAAAATTTAGCAAAAAAGAAAATGAAGTCAACGCACTGTCTAAATGCTTGTTTTTGTGCACCTTTATCAACTTAGTAGTTCTAATCGTGAGCACGATTTTCAGTATATTAAACTTTCGTTAACAGTTTTGTAGATTCACTTCTTTTTTGAATGGGTGTATTCAATTTTTCACATGCGAAAAATCATGTCATTTTTTCGCTGTATTAATTACTATTATACCACAATTTTACAATCATTATCTTTTTTATTCCCTCTTCAACCCCACTCCTTTAGAAATATAGACAGTTATTAGATAGCAAATGAAAAAGACACTCTCTTGCTGTTGACTATCGCTAGCGACAGACTTCCTCTCTCGCCTGCTGAGTTTCACTAGCAACAGACGTACCCTCTCTTCCCCGTTGACTATCGTTAATACCAGACGTACGCTCTCTTGCCTGTTGACTATCGCTAACAACAGACTTATTCTCTCTAGTGTTGACTGCCGCTAACAACAGACATTCTCTCCCTCCCGCCTATAGTTGCGCCGTATACGCAAAAAATACCGCGAATTATCGTTTAAATCGTAGTGGTAAGACTTTTTATAAACTTTATTTGCTATTATCTATATAACCCCTTACTACTTATCCTAATTTATTTGAACCAGTCCTATGTAATACACTCCTCATAGACTGAAATTATAGTCATAATTTCACATATGTACACCCTTTTTTGTACTGGGTGAATGCCTCTCATATCGAGGAAATGGTAAATTCCAGCTACTTTGTGCAGTAGTAATTAACTTGGTGCAATAGCCAAGAATACTAACACTCTTGTTTTCGTTTGTATAAATTTCGAAAACAATTTGATTATCATTGTTTATTTACTAAAGAGATAACATCGTCTTCATAGTGATAATGCACCCGCATTTGTAGAATAATGTGTCTTTACCTTTTAACTTTTTTATGAAATCTTTTATAAGCGCATTTTTGCCAGCTGTCTTCAAGTGAAGAAAATGTAATTGTAGCTTGGCAATTTTTCTATCTTTATTAGGTCTGCCGTAAATTTTGGCGAATGTTCTGTAATGCACTGTTTGTCCTGGTGAATTCCTCCACCATTTCAGAGATTTGTGAGCTACCCACTTCCTTGTAGCCGTTCTTGTTACTGTCTTTGCGACGCCGCAGAAGGGTTCCGGTCCAATGAATGTCATTGATGAGCCTTGTTTGGCCTTTTCTCATTGCCCTTATGACCCTCGTACCCAGGCTACCCTAACCTTCCTACATTTTCCTAGTTTATTTAGGGCACACACACAATCCCATACTAGCTTAGAATTGACCTCTACCGAATTGAGTGCCTTAAGCGCTGCCTGACTATCTGTGAAGATGGCAACTGAACGGAACGTTCTTTCTTGCCTTTCTATTTCTTCCACGCAGCGATGGACTGCCGTTATTTCCGCCTGGAAAACTGTCACATCTTTAAATAGTCTTACCGGGAAATGTATTCCTTGATTTATCCCTACTTTGCCGACTACCACACTCTCCGATGTTTTTGAGCCATCCGTGTATCAGCAGCTTGTGTGGGTACACCTTTATTGCAGCCTTCCTGTGAACTTATTGTTAAAACTATATCTCGTAGCTGTTGCATCGACAGATTGTCCCATCACAATATCGGCTTTAGCTCCTCGATTAGCTTTCTGTTGTCAACATCATGCATCTGGCTTATATGTCGCCGGTGATACTTATTGGATATTACGTGTTTCATGTTGCGTATTGGATATCGCCTTGGTGTACTAGTCCACTAACGAATACATTTTATAATATTGCTTAATCTGGTAGGTTTGACTACCATTACTGACATGAAAAATTTCTTACATACTTGATAATTTTTGTGTTTTTCCTAATCAAATTTTACTCAACAGAAGAAGAGTTAGGTAATACCTCGTTGATCTAGTAGTTAGTGGTAGTTCTTGGCCTTCTTCTTTTAATCTTTTGAACAGACAAGATGACTTGAAGTTGTCCTGATCAGTTTTATTGGGCACAGATAACAAGTTTTTCTTCACAGAAGAACAGTCATTTGGAGTAATGCTTTTACAAGAAAACCATAAATAGTAATGTGAGCACGGGCTAAAGATATTGTAGCCTTTAGGTTGGGTTAGCCTTTTCTTCTTTGCCAAATCTCTCTTTCGTGGATTTATAGTCCTCTTCTTTGATCCATTTTCCATACTTACAAAAGAGTCTTCAATAATTATTTCACTCATCCTAATTAATATTAAATTAAATATTACTAGCTCTGCGACAGGGTAACAATGAAGCTGAACAGAACGCTGTCAAAACTCCTAACCTCAAACAACAAAGCATCATGGGTAGGGCGAATGCAGTCCTGTGATTGGCTGGTTGTGACTAAACCTTTTCTGATCAACCACTTATGGCGGACAAAATATATTTTGATTCGCTACCAGATGATTTATTGTGAAAAATCCTTTTTTGAACGCCACTTCCTCAATTTCTCATAATAGTCCGTGTATTATGTTTAATAATTAATGTACACTTAAGGAAATTGGTAATTTTTTCAAAACCAATCACTATCTACGAGAATTACATTACTGCAGCGGAAGAAGGATGATATAAAAACAATGATAACAGTGTAACTATTTATTGATATATATTTACACATCTAAAAAAATACATTGCAAGAAAAAATATGATCTTAATAATAGAATATAGGTCAATCTAGATATACATATATACAATGCATCCCAAGAGGACATGGCATAACGTTTTTATTCCATAATGAAAAACATTATTAACTAAATAATCTTGGAAACTCGAACCTTACTGAGGACAATTCTAATTACAAATGTCGAAATTTCTAAAAAATACTTTTTAAGAACCAAATCCAGTATTCTTGATACAAAGCATTCAAAATTAACTATAAGTACTTCGTTTCCACTAGCTATGCAGCATATGTAAATAGAAGCATTTTCAGTTCTAATAAACGATACAATTATAGCCTAAAATCCCACTACAGAATCACTATGTTCATAACGTAGTTAATCATTCTCACATTTGTACATACATTTAAAATTAGGAGAATACATTGATAATAGGGCGCCAGTTAAAAAGTAGCCGCAAACATTTTTAATTCAATTAATTTTTGACAAAAATTTAATTTCGGTCATTTATTTTTTAAATAAAATACGCTGCTTATGACATGTGCATGTTTGTTATATAAAATTAAAGCTAATTTTTTTCTTAATATGTTTATATAAGTTTTCCTATGAAAAAATGGTCGAAAATTAGGGTTTCAGCTGCTAAAAACGTGAGGTATCAAAAATAAAATAAAAGACAGCTAGCGCGCCACGCTAGTGGTTTGAAGCGTCAGTTGTGTGAGATTTTAAAGCATGCGTTAATAGATATATAATAATATACATACTATCACTTGTCAAACTAGTGTCGCTGCGCCCTTACTCTATTTTACTTTGATAATTCGCGTCGTTTAACAATTGGCAATCCCAATTTGTGACCTTTTTTTTTCAGGCAACCTAATATCATCATATTAAGAAAAAAAAAGCTTTTAACTTGATATAAAAAACATGCATAACGAAATAAAATATTTGTCAAAAATAAATTACTATTAATTGAATTAAAAATATTTGCCGCCACTTTTTGACTGGCAACCAATCAAATCAATGAATTCTCTAATTTTTTTCTCAAGAGGGCTTACTGGTGTATTGTCATAATACTCCTGAAGTAGGCATAAAACTGGGAGCTGACAATTACTATTTATTTATTGATTCTTCTAAGAGAAGTTTGAAGGGTGTCTTGTTACACAATAGTAATACTTATGCCTCAATGTATGTTGCTCACTCTGTCTATCTAAAGAAACATATGAGAATCTTGGGCTGTTGCTAAATAAAATAAAGTATAGCGAATATTGTTGGCAACTCCGTGGAGATCTCAAAATATTATCCATACTTTTGGGTCAGCAGTCTGGATTCAGAAAGTATCCATATTTTTTGTGCGAGTGGAACAGTCAAGCACGCAATTTACATTACGTTAAGAAAGAGTGACCACTCAGAGAAAGACTTGTACCAGGATAAAAAAATGTGCAATATGAGACACTAGTTGATCCAAAATTAGTTCTTTTGCCTCATCTTCACATAAGGTTACGATTGATGAAGCAGTTTGTCAAAGCTTTAGGTAAACAAGGTGACGGCTTTAAATATCTGTGCGACAAAAATCCTGCATTTTCTGAAGCTAAACTTAAAGGAACAAATTTTTGTATTCTCTCAAATTCGAACTTTAAAATCGGACAGATTGTTCTAGAATACAATGACCCAGGATGAATCTGAAGCATGGAGTTCTTTCGTAGAAGTCATAGACGGTTTTCTTGGAAACAACAAGTCTGCAAACTATAAAGAAATTGTAGCTAACATGGTCGAAAATTATAAAAAAAACTGGGATGCAATATGAGCGTCAAACTTCATTTTCTGGATTCCCACGTTGACTATTAAGCCGAACATCTTGGAACTGTCACCAAGGAGCAGGGAGAGAGGTTTCATTAAGATATAAAGGAGATGGAGAGACGTTTCCCTATAAATTAGAAATCCACATTTGAGAAAATTCATCAAGAGTCTTGAAACTCAAATAAAGCGTTCTTAAGTTAGAAAAAGAGTTTAATTGCTGCTAAATAAATATATATAAAAAATCAAAACTTTAAAGTAAAATAAAATAATTCACATAACCAGTTGATTATGCGAAACACTAAAACTCTATAATATAGCGATCGATGTCTTTAATTATAACTGTTAAAGACGTTTGATGGAAACTGAAGATATGTTAATTAAATAATCAAATTTATAAAACAATTTAAATGAATAAATTTGAATTAATTAACTTCGGTGTATCAAATATACTGGATTTGCCAAGTTTGCTAAGAAGTTATTAAGTTATGTTTAGTTAATAAATAGATGTGATAAGTTTGACGTAGAATTGCCTTGGAAAATGTGAACGGTGAGGGGGTATAGTGGTGTTAATCAACTATTACTCTATAAGAAGAATGTCTGCTTAAAATTTAACCAGTAATAAGCTCAATAGATATAAGATATTGTCATGTAAATGGTAAGTATTTTTAACAACTTGGAATAACGAGAGAATAACTTTCAACCGAACCAACAAATTTTCAATTAGCAACTCTCCACTGAAATCTATACCAAATTCTTCCTACAACGTATCCCTGAAAAAAAAATTCTAATTAGTATTTTGTAATTTTCAATTTTTTTTTTAATTTTGCAACATATAAGAGCGATATACTAGAACGATAACTAACAGTATATATACGTTTTTTGCTATAGTATAATTTCAAAATTGTAGGCACTATATTACAAGAAATGGTTAGCGTCATTTTTGGTCTTCTAGTAGAGTACAATCTTTTTTATGAGTTAGATGTAACGCTACTTATATTGAATAATTTTTAAAAATTATTCGTACTTCTATTCTCGTTCTAGCGCTAAGAAATATCTAAATAAATATGTGAAACCGGGTGCTTTCCAGTTTTCTAATTATCAATTATTCATATAAGTTGTCCTAGGTAAACGGATATAAAACCATTTTTAAATTTAAAAAGTAAATTTGAAAAAATTTCGATACATAAAATTAAGATATTTACCACTCTAGTTGGTCAAAAGACATTATCACTAAACCCAGACAGGAAAATATTTTATACAAGTTTATTGTAGTTAGAATTCGTTTTATATGAATCGATGTTGAAATCGACAATGTAATAATTAAACATGTATTAGATTTGACCGCATCAGGTTCAAAAAAACTATTGACATTATCGGAAGGCGAATATAGCAATTTAATACACATACTGAGTTTTATTAGAGACCAGCTGTGTTCTCTGACCCATATGTTAGGACTGGGCGTATTATTGTTTTGTAGTTTTATTTTTGTATTTCTCAATATAATTGTGGATTTAAGGAGGAGATTGAGTCCAAAAGAGCATCTGTTGGCCGTGCAAATTCTGCGGTTTATCTCTGCGGTAGGATTATTTTTGGCGTTAAGGAGATCTAGCAGGTATACAAATTCGTTCACTGTTTCAATGACATCGTTACCTATAACAGTAGGATTTATGGTGGCGTGCTCATTTTTATATACTTCGTTTTGTTGGTGTTTATTTTTGTAGCTAATTCTTTTAATGCTACGTACGCCTCTCGTACAGAGATTTCCCTTCTCCCAACAATATTGATATCATCAGCATTGACAATGATTTATTATATATTGAACCAATGGTTGTGATTTGTGACATACGTATTAATTTTTCCAGAGCCAGATTAAACAGTATACAGGAGAGAAGGTCTCCCTGGCGCAGCCCGTTATTTGTTTTAAAAGGTTCAGACAACTTCCCTCTGAATTTGTACTCTTAACTTTTTCAAGAGTTATGTTTCGTTAAATTTACCAACAGATTCGGTGTTCCAACAGAGGCGTAGGATACTTTGTAGTCTATAAATATATAATGAGTATATCTGCCATATTCCAGCGTTTTTTCTAAAATTTGTCTCAGAATTCCTCAAGAATGGAGATAAAGTATCCTAATGCCTCTCCTCAAAAAGGGAGACAAGTCGGACCCGGAAAATTACAGAGGAATTAATCTATTAAATACAACACTAAAATTAACAACCAAAGTGATAACAAATAAACTGAACGAAAGTAAATATCTATGTTTCTAAGACAAATTGCATGATTACGACAGCAAATTTATCTAGATGTAAATTGGAGCTGGAAGGTCACATAATAGAACAAGTGATGGAGTTTAGATATCTAGACATCACTTTATCTAGCTACGGAAAGCTCGAAACGGAAGTGGAAGATCCAGTGAATAGAGCAAACAGAGCCGCAGGCTGCCTGAACGAAACAATATGGAGAAATAAAAATATCCGGAAAGAAACGAAAGGCAGAATTTACAAAACAGTCATCAGACCAATAATTACATACGCGGCAGAAACAATACCTGATACAGAGAGGACAAAAAGGATATTAGAAACAGCAGAGATGAAAACACTTAGAAAAATTGAAGGTGGGACACCGTAGGACAGGGTTAGAAGTACAGATATACACCGTAGAAGCAAGGTGAAAAACATGAAAAACTGAATAAGAAATAGAAGAGTAGAATGGAACGATCATATAAGCCGAATGACAACAAATGGAGTAGTAAAGACGACAAGAGACGGTTCCCCAATAGGAAGACGATCAGTAGGAAGACCACGAAAACGATGGAATGACAACTTACTGGAAGCACATTGAAAAACAGACAGAGTCATGTCTATATAAAAAGAACAAGAGAAACCAGCCTGGTATTTTCCTACTACTTTTGCATATGGTGTCATACGGTGACATAGTACTGTGGAAAATATTTTACACGCTGCATTTAGAAGCGTAATTCCTCTGTAGTTAGAGCATTTAAAGATATCTCCCTTTTTGTGTACGGTGCAAAGTATTCCAATCGTTTGGAAGGGATTTCTGTGTCCATATTTCTTTTATAAGCTGCTGTAATGCCATTATGGTATCGTGGCCACCTTTATATAGTTCAGCTTGAGAGATTATCTATTCTAATGGCGACCAAGAACAAGTAAGAGAAGTAGAGGCAGACCTCAAACCAGATGGACTGATGACATCAAGCGAGTGGATGCAGAAAACAACAAACAGAAATGAATGGGCAAACCTAAGGGATGTTTACATCCGACGATGGATGGAATATCTAATGATGATTGTTTACTCCGATGATGAAACCAGAGGAAGAAAACACATTTAGTTCGAAGATGACATCAAGTATGCTTTTCAAGACAGTCCCATGCTTTCTTTTTCGGAAATGAAATTCCAACCCAGAAAATCACGCCGTGTATTATTCCGATTTGACATTCAGAATATCATGACGTGTATTATTGCGAGCATTAACGCAAATGAACATTATATATGTGCTTACATAAAGAGAATATATTATTTTGTGCAGGAGAGTCTGAAAAAATCCAAAAATCCAGTCCAGTATTAATGTAAATGATGATAAATTAATCTATAATCAACACCTGGTTGTTGTTATTAATTAATATTTCTCAGAATTTAGGCCTAAAATTTTGAAATTTTACTATAATACTGTACAGGGTAGGATATATTGGTATCGTTTATCGTATAACTTAAATTTTTTTATAATCTTTATAAGGCAATTATCTTTGACAAGTGAAATGTCTTTTTTTAACTTACCTTACAACTTTATCTAACACCCCCTTAAGTCTCTGTTCTGAAATGGATGGCACCAATTTTTGCACCAATTCACAAATGAACATTTCACTTATACCTGGGCTTGTCTTCTCAGCAATCTCAAATGCATTCTCGAGCTCCTCTATCGCGTCACTTGATTTATGAGACGCTTCCGCGCTTCGCCTGTTGTACTGGTGCTTTCTCTGTAACTAAACAAACATTTGTTAGTAGAGTAATAAATAAAAATGAACATGAGCTACTAGTAGTAACGTTAGAACAAATAAATATTGAGGGTATTCCCCCTTCGTGCCCCTAGAATTGGACATATGCTTCCTCCTCAATCTGCACTTGTTTCTATATTTTGCTTCCTTTATCCAACTTAGTTTTGGTTTAATATGTTCAATATTAGCAGTAATGATGCTGCTATCAAATCTATTCCTCAATACAAAATTTTTAAATCCAAAAATTTAAATGGGGATCCTTCCCCAGTGGAACCTAGAATACGATCTGATAACACTGGGGAACAATTTGAAATTCAATTTCTATTGAGTTAAATTTTTTAGCTGTTTTCTGTAGACTTAGGTATGCTGGTTTCAAAACTGTTTTTAGTTTTGTTCATTACGTTACGTTCGTTTTCTATGTGGGTGGGGCGCATGTTGATGGAGGAAATGACGCGCTCATAACTGCAACTGGTCTAGCCTTGCCTGTTCACTTTAGTTACGTCTTTTATACTGTGGTGTAACGTGTGTTGGTTAGTAGTTTTAGTATCTCATTACTGAAGTGTATGGAACTACTTAGTGTGTTTAAACTGAAACGTTTCCTTATGGCTACCTCTGGTCCTACACGTCGTAAGTACGAAAACAGCCCCGATTCGTTTTGTTACATATATGGCAGTTTTACCATTCCTAGTCAAAGGACAAACATCAGTACATTTATCAGACAAGCATATGTTGCCTTTTTTAAAGTGAAACTTGGTGATCAAGATAAAGCATGGGCATCTTTTACAAGTGTGTAAACAGTGTGTTGAGGGTTTAAGGATGTGGACCAAGGGAACACGTGCTTAACTTCCATTTAGTATACCTATAATTTGGCGCGAGCCCAAAGATCATTCAAGTGATTGTTACTTTTGTATAGTGAAAACATCAGGATATAACAAGAAAAACAAATGTCGAATTTCAGCCGAACATTCAGCCTAAATCCCCGTGTGAGTTTTCAATGAATATCCCTCTTTGGAAGAAGGGGAATACGGATATGGTGCAGATGAAAGCGACTCCAACGATGAAGATTTCGAAATTGAAGATGACTCTGTACGTAAGGGATTCGACCAGTAAGAGCTAAATGATTTGGTAAGAGATTTGGGACTATCCAAAGAAGCTTCAGAGCTCTTAGCTTGTCATTTGAAAAGATAAAGACCTGTGATTTTGATGGTCCCAGATTCGGCAACTTCTTGGGGATGAACATTTCGTGATATCAATGTCAGAAATTGAAAAGAATGCATGGTTGGCATTCAAAAACATTGTTAAAAACTTTTTTGGAAATACACGAGCATTGAATTACGCCGAGATTGTCCAGCAACTCTTGGAGAGCTTTCAAAAGCTAGGTTTCAACATGAGCATTAAGTGCATTTTTTAAATAGCCACCTTGATAATTTCCCGGACAATCTTGGTCATGGAAGCACGGTATCAAGGTAGATGAGACTTACATATGATGGTTGACATCATAGGAGCATCAAGCGCGAATGTACACAAACTGAACACTCCAGAAAAAGCTATAAACGAAAATTTTTGTGTTAATTTGTAAGTACTGTTCATTAATTAAACAATTTTATTTGTACGAACTCGATTTAACTTGCATTAAATGTTTATTGTAAACTGTAGATTTGGTACGTTTTTATTTTATGTTTCTTATAAAATTTAGATTAGATTGGTGGTTACAGAAAGAGAATTGACTCCCATTAAACCAGTTTGGCTACAAAAGAGGTTTTGGAACTCTAGACGCTTTGAAAACGCTTTTTGTAGATGTACAGAATAACTTAACTAGGAATAATTATTTAGCAGCACTATCCTTGGATATATAAAAGAGCATATGTAAGAGCATATAAAATGCTAGTTGCTTTCGTTAACACAATTATTGGTTTCTATATGGACGGAGATCATAACAAGCTAATAGGACCACTACATAACTATCACGGCATACCACAAAGCTCAGTATTATCGACAATCTTATTCAATCTATATACCTCTGATATACATAATATGCACATAAACAACATCCCATTCAAAATAATACAACTTGCAGATGACTTTTGTGTCAATATTGAAAACAAGAAATATAAAAACAGTATGCAAAACCTAAGTAGGGTATGTAGTTCACTCTTCCCATGGTTTTTAGAGAACGGCTTAAATTTATCAATTACCAAATCAGCAGTATCTGTCTTTACACGACACAACCTTCCTCTAAACCAAACTATATTTCTTAATAATCCATCTTTTACATTTAAAAATCATGTCAAATATCTAGGCCTTATTCTGGATAAAAATGAACTTGGAAACAACACATACAATATGCTGGATAGATGCAACAAAGGTAGTAAATTCCTCAGAATAACAACTAGAGTGTAGTGGGGTTACGATGTTGAAACATATTTGTTGTTTTATAGCGCTTCCCCATCCCACTCGATCTAAGAGGTCTATTGTGGCTCATCCCCAGGTTAAAGTTGTCCTTTCAGGACAACTAAAGGGTTTAGGCTAAGATGGTCTTTTCAACATTTTTGAAATTTGATTTGAAACAAGCTTTGGAAATACGGACCGGAATTTTGAACGAATGTAATAAAATACTATGGACTTACCTCTGATATAAGCGGGTATATAAAACTTCCAAGTACCGGCGATCTACTTTCGATTTTTCCACTATAATTTGAGCCAGATTTTCTATTCGCCTTCTTTTCCGCCGCTATACTATCACCTCGGTGATCCAATGGACTCAATTCACGAGATATTCTCTTTTCTTTGTCCTTTACATCTGTTCTCTCACGTTCCCGTTCTCTTTCGGCTTCTTTTTCTCGATCCCTGTCCTTATCTTTTCTGTTGTCTAATGGCGATTGTACTCCCGGAGATTTTGACTAAAATAAAAGATATGATAACTATAAAATATAAAAACACTTTATCTTAATAATAGTTTGAAAGAATTTGAAAACAATGTGTCAAGTTTGGGAAAGTATTTAGTATTAATTTAAATATTTTATTTTTAATTACTTATTTTCATTGTATATATTCATTATCTTTTTAAATTCTCACGATCAACTTGCTGATTCATATTATGCCATCAAGTTCTGAGAAACCACTTGTCCTTAATTCTCCCGAAAGTACAAAAGCTTTTTGTTTATATCAAATTAAGAAGAAATGTATGACATTTTTTTTTTCGAGAAAGCAGTAGCTAACAATACCTCGAGATGATCAGATCTACGCGTAAAAGATGCTACTTCTCCTCGTTGAACGCGTCTACCGCCACCATTCTCCTTTTATAGCATCGCGGCGCAGAAACTTTGCTTACCAAGAAACAGAACATGCTTACCAAGTTAGATTTATCTGGTTTATAATGATTGAGATTGGAATCAGTCGGAGGAGATTTGCTCAACATAGGACCCGAACCGTTTTGAACTTTATTTCCAGCTTTGTGGTTAGGAGATGGTATTTCGTCCAGGGGTAATTTCATATTTCCTTTCACCGTCATGATCCATGGGTCATCCAAGTCACCATCCTGTTTTGGTTCCTCACTGTAAAAATAAAAAAATAATGAATTAAAGAAAATAGTTTAATATAACAGTTACATATTGGAGAAGGAAGTAACAGTATAGCAAAAAAGCATAAAAACGATAAAGTTAGGTCAGACAAAGCATAAATCTGCGAAAAAGATCCAAATCTAGAACATCTTATGTTTACTATTGTATTTATATGAAATTAAAGCAAAGTTGATTGTAATACAATTGTTTTACATCTGTTTTTGACGTTGCGATTTCCAACCCAAAAATCGCTTTCAAAAAATAAAGATTGGACAGTTGACTTATTTGGTCTCGATCTTGTAGGCTAATAGCCATATTTTTGAGTTTAAATTAAGAGTGTTGTACGCTCGGATTGACATAAAATTATAATTTTTTATGTGCTTATGTAGTTAATTGTAGTTCGTGTGTCTCTGACCTCCTGTTAATTCATTAATGTTGGTATGCTTATTTATCCTAACATTTAGTAGTCTTGAAGTTTGTGTCACATAAAAATTGTTGCATCCACAAAGTTTTTATGGATGCAGTTCTTTCCTGTGCAGAAAAACCATGTTTTAGCAGGTTTTTTTCTTCCTGATATCCATTTTAGTTGAAGGTGTTTTGGGCTCCATCATGTAATGATTTAATAATTCCCTTTTTGATAGTTGTGTTTTGAGTGAGAATTTGAATATCTGTCAGTGTGGGTTGGTTTTCTATAGAGTTTGGTTACATATCCTGTATCCTGTTTGTGATTAAAACATCCAGGAAAGGTAGTAAGCCATTGTTTCCTTTTTTCCATTATGAATTTCCTCTTTAAGGAAAATTTGATAAGTAATAATAAAATACTATGGTATGAAAAGGAAGTAAAAATGTACAGTCTGATAAGGAATCAACAGATACAGTAACAAACTGTACTTTTCAAAATAACAAACAGGGTTATTGTTCAAGTAATGCATAAAATAAAGAAAAGTGGAGCAATAATAAATATACTATGAATTGGACGAAATAGGAATAAATTGGTAAAAAGGTTTTTATAATATAATTTTTCAATAGAGTGTATCAAGAATGGGAAAGAGTTAGGAACGTGAAGAATGCGAAAGGACAAAGATATTACCATCAAAACAAAAAAATGCACAATTCAGAACATATTACCAGAGGAAGGGAGAGAATAGAAGATTAAGTTTCAGGCGTAATAACAGTCACACAAGGAATGACACAGGGATGTATAGTATCACCACTACTGTTTAACTTCTACAGTAAACACACTTGCCAGGAAGTTTTATCAAATGCAAATAAAAAAATAAACGTCAAACGTCACAAAAAAAAATCACATTCAATATGCACAGAGTATGCGCCGGTTGAGCCTACCCCTCCACATCCACTGAGCGGGTCTTACGGCGTCAGTGGCGGGGCTTACGGCGTCAGTGGCGGGGCTTGTGACGTCAAAATGAAAGTGTAGGCATAGGCTTAACTGGCGCATACTCTGCTTGCACACGATACCGTACTGTTGGAAGAACATCGGAAGAGCTTCAAATTTTATAAATAAATACCAAGAAAATCAAGTAATATACTATTTGAATTAATTGGGACAAACATGTTTTCTGGTCTGAGTTAGTATGTGATCACCAGTGATGTCCCGAATTGCCTCAAACCGGTTATATCTGCCTAGAGGCAGGGTAACAGATTCACCATGACTATAATTTACTCGTTTGGCAGGTTTTAGAGAACCAGCAGTACAGTTGTGAGCCTTTCTGCATGACACCCGGTGGTTATAATGTTGTGTTCCATGTAAGACAGTAAGACAAGTACGATGAAGTATGTTAGATAAGTACGATGAAATCAAAAACATAAATTAGTTGAGTAAAAGCCAAGACGTTTGGAGAGATCATTTCTGCTAAAAGCAAGGCATACCTAGTATTAATATATAGATTGTTTAGTCTACTTATGGTATGCAATGATTAAAAGCTTAAGTTTTAGACAAAAATCCAATATAAAAAGCAATGGAAGTTTCCAGATTTGATGATATCGACGAATATTAAGAATAAGTTGGCTTGACCGAGTAATAAGTGAAGAAGAATTATGTCGAATGGACAAAAGGCTCCAAGTAATACCACAAAAAATAAGAAAAAATTGGACATCCAATGCGGGGATACAAATATAAATTCCTATAAAATAATATGCGAAAAAAGGTTAATGGACGAAGAAATCCGGACCGCAGAAGAATGTATTTAATGAGAAATTTATGAGGGTGGTTTGGTTGCACTACAAGCACTGTTTAGAACATCTGTAAGCTCAAACGCTTTTTCTCTTTCTAATCAGAAGGAAATAATTGCACCAACAAACAATTATTAATCCTGATCAATCCAGTAATACACCAAATGCAAATTATAAAAACTTACGAATCGGAATTTTCTGATTCTGTTTCAGATTCTTCGTTCCTAGTACACCTCCATTTTTTGTATCTGTCTATAAGATCTATTAAGTAGGAATTCTTTTTCGCCTTTCTTATAAATGGATATTTTAATAACTCCTTCGCTGTTGGTCTCTGAAAAGAAAATATAAATTCAGATGAATATCCTTCATGAAAATATAATAATACTAATTGTAAGTGAAAGTATTCATTAACTATCAAATGAGATATTTGAAATTAAAAATCAAACTAAATTTTCTCTTCTTTTTCACCCCTGTAACTTATTAAAATAAGCATTATAGAAGTTTTCAGGGACTTTCGGCCCTCAGTAATAATGTAATCTTTCATTCTGCGTTTAAATTTTTCAAAAATACTTATTAGTTTTCTCAGGATTCGAAAAAAATGAATGCATTTAAAAAGCATTGGCCCGAAATTTTGCGCCTGTTCAGCCTAGCTGACAAATTTACATGATCTATTGTAGTTGCGATGATTCTTGGATTGGTAATGATAAAATTATTAATAAACGTATGGAATAGTCTACTTACATTTTCTGGATCTTTATTTAAACATGCTTCCACAAAATCCTTGAATTGTTTACTATAGCTTCCTGTTAACTGGGGAGGATTATTCTTCGGAATTAAAAACAACACCCTCATCGGATGAAGCTCTGCATTGGGAGGTTCTCCTTTGGCAAGTTCTATGGCTGTGATGCCTAAACTCCATATATCAGCTTTAGAATCGTACGCGGACTGCTTGATCACCTCCGGAGCCATCCAAAAGGGGGTTCCGACGAAGGTATTTCGCTTACTTGTTGTATTGGTCAATTGGCCGGCAACACCTTAAAAAATATTTAATATACTAAAAACTAAGTGATGAAAATGTGACTTTAAAGTGTTACAAAAATATAAAAAGATCGATTTAAATTGAATTGATTAGAATCAAAGTTAATCACTAAATAAATATATTATAAAATTGTTCTTCAATTTACACATTTTAATTAATTTTTGGTTTTCTCTTATTAATGTACAGTGTATTTTTTAAAACTCTAATTTTCTCTTCGCCATTAGACTTAATCCTAGAATTGACCTTCGAATGTCTGCCTCCTATCTGAAACCATAATGAGAACTTACGACATTTCTAAAACCACACTGGGAACTTTGATATTCATCATAATTGTTGTAAATATGATTTAAAATTATTCTCCTAAAGATCTTTGCACCTTGCAGTATGGTTAGGAGGAATAGTAATGGTTGAGGAGATCAATTAGTTGGGCAAAAACTAGTACGAGTAGGAGAATTTAAATACATTGGCTCCTACATAATGGAAAATGGGTCACTAGATCAAGAAATTTCCCACAGGATACAGGCTGGTTGGTTTAATTTGAAGCGAATGAGCAGGGTACTCTGTGATCGAAAAATCGAGGTACGGCTGAAAGGAAAAATATACAAAACTGTGTAGAGGCCTACGTTGGTATACAAGGGTAAAGTGTGGCTTGCAAAGAAGGTTCACGAAAAGAAGATGGAGGTAGCTGAAATAAAAATGTTACGGTGAATGTTGGACAAGACTAGAAGGGAGAGAATCAACAACGACGTGATTAGGGAAAGTGCCGGAAAGACTACTCTCAAAAAAGGTCCAAAAACAAAAACTGCAATCATTTGGTCACGTCACATGTATAAATGAGTACTATGTAGGAAGAAGGATAGAGCTGAGAATTAAATATAATTAAGCAAATAGCAGTAAACAACGGATACAACGAACAAACAATTAATAAAATGTTAAATCAAAAACTACACAAGAAAGCCCTGAAATTAGTATTTCCACCACCAGAGAAAAAACCCAGTACCTTCTGCTCGATTACATATAGAGGCAAAATAACAACAAAAATTGCCAAACACATAAAAAAGAAAGGAATAACACCAGCTTTCCGAACAAATAACAACCTAGGCAGATATATCCGAAATAACAAGAGCCAAAATAAAAAACACTTAAATAATGGTGTGTACAAACTTCAATGTGGCGACTGCCCAAAAAGTTACATCGGTCAAACTGGTAGACACTTTGATAAACGAATAGCAGAACATAAAAGGGCTTTCAAGAATAGAAAAACAGATTCGACATACGCACTTCACCTTCTAGATCATAATCATTCTTTTAATGAAAAATTTAAAATTCTTCACATTCAAAATAAAGGCCTTAAGCTATCTTTGTTAGAATCTATGGAAATCAACAAATTAAAAAAACACAGATATAATTCTGAATGACCAACTTGAGACAAACAGTTCTCCCCTCCTCAACCTATTTCATTAGAGACTATAAATTTGTAAACCCAACCCAAAATAGATCACTTGAGAAAGGCAATCAGCCGAAACAGCTGTAGTGATAATATTTAAAATAAATTTTGTGGAAGTTTGAAAACAAAGTTTTCAGTGTTTTATTGTTACAGTCAATATTAGCGTGTACTAAGATATCTTATAGAAGAGCAAATTAAAGGTCAAACAGAAGAACACAGCGGATTTCAAGCAGGGAGATCATGTAACGACAATATATACTGTCTTAAACAAATCATCGAGAACACAATAGCAACTAATAGAGAAATATATGTAACATTTATTGATTTACAAAAATACGTTACAATACCAACACTAAACCTCTGGAATATCTGAAAAGATACAAATATTTTATATACAACTTAAGTGCTTGAAACTACAGTTTAAAATTAACACCCGATGCCCTCAGGTCATCATTAAAAAAATAATTTTTTGTCTTTGGTGAGTAATTATTCCGGGTAATTTTAAAATTAATGACACATTCAGGTATTAGGCGGAATGGGACGTTTCGGCGTCGCCGTTTCGGCGTGGCCATTTCGGCGTGGCCGTTTGGGCGTAGAGCCGTTTCGGCGTAGGCCGTTTCGGCGTAGGCCGTTTCGGCGTCGGCCATTTCGGCGTCAGAAATTTTATTTTAGTTGACTAAATACCTACATTGAGGTTTATTGGTCAGGCAATTTTTTGGAAAAAAATCTTTTAATATAGTTATTTAAATACATTGGAGTTCATTGGTCACACAATTTTAACATTAATGGTCAAGTAGAAAAATAAACTAAATATATTTCTTTTATAAACATTTTGTTATATTTTATTCTGCAAATACCTATATTGGATTTTTTATTAATGCATATTAATAATAATTGCTGTTCTCTTAATTGTCCCAGAGCTAATTAGATGATAACTGACATTTTTCAACTTTAATTAGACATACATTATATGGTATATAGACGGAGAATTTTAATATTGTTAAAATATCTTTTTTAAGCAAAAATATTTGCAGAATGTATATTTTTAAAAAAAATTAAATTATACAATATTTTCTTGAAAGGAATCTGCTTTTAAAATATTTACCATTAGTTAGTATAATAATAGTTATCCCTATATTTATTGCAGTTTCTTCGAAAATTTAAATACAAAATTCTATAAATCACATAATAATGTTATTAACATTTCCTCGAAAACTAAATTACCTGTTAATTCCAAATGACATTATCATGTATCAATTAGTTGTTGATTTCAAAAATTACATTATAATGTCATTAACGAGAGATGCAAGTTATTTGTTGATTTTAAATATTCGAAAACTAAATTAGTTGTTGATTTCAAAAATTACATTATAATGTCATTAACGAGAGATGCAAGTAATTTGTTGATTTTTAATCTTAAGGGAAATTTTAAGTAGGTACCTACCTATTATTGATTTGATTGGTTGGATTATTGAGGGTACAGCTATATAAACAGAGATCAGTTTAAGAGTTTATGTAGTGTCTTATAATATTTCATAGTAGTATTTATACGATATACAGACGAAGAATTTTTAAGCTATGGAACGAAAAATTTTATCGACCAGAGGAAGAGAGAAATTTACCACTGATGGTTTCATGTATGTTTTTGACGCTGTTAGTAAAAGCGATGAATCCCTAAAATTTTGGAGGTGTGAGAGGAAACAAACGTGCAAAGCAAGAATACATACAAGAGATGGTGAAGTCATCAAGAAAGTAAATGTTCACACTCACGACTCCTCGGCGATGGACGTGGAAGTAGCACAAGTTGTTACAAAAATGAAAAAGCGTGCTACAGAAACAAACGAAGGGACAATAGTGGTAATCAATGAGTGCCTGAGAAATACAAGTCAAGCTTGTCATGGTCGGCTCCCAAACACTGGCGCGATGAGAAAATTCATCAGACGAAAACGTAACGAAGTTCATGCAGCCCCATCAAATCCGACAACTGTTGAAGAGTTAGTAATTCCCGAGTCTTATCGTGTTTACACGTTACAAGATGGTGTAGAAGAAAATTTTTTATTAGCAGATGATGGAGAAGGATTGCAAAGAATTTTGATTTTCGGGAGAGAATCGTGGCTGCAACATCTACAGACCTCAGATGTGTGGTATGGTGACGGTACATTTGCTATAGCACCATCTCTATTTTTACAAGTATACACAGTTATGGCCACAAAATATAATGGAGTCCATCCAATATTTTATGCCATGCTGCCGAATAAAACAAGATCCACATATACCCGTATGTTTGAATTGATCAGACAAATTGTACCAAATTTGCAACCCAGAGCAATCCATTGCGATTTCGAACAGGCGGCATTTAAGGCAATGGAAGATTGTTTTCCAGGCGTCGACATCAATGGATGTTTTTTCCATTTGGCACAAAATATGAAGAAACAAGTGGCTGCTATGGGATATACGAGAGAGTATAATGCTGATCCACAATTCGCTTTAAATTGCAGAATGTTGACAGCATTAGCATTTGTTCCTATCGAACATTTAGATGATGCCTTTGCCGTTCTAGCGGAAGCTCTACCTGCTGAACACCAACCACTTGTAGACTGGTTTGAAGACTACTATATTGGACGTATGAACAGAAGAGGAAATGGCAGAAGACCAAGTTTATTTCCCCAAAGGATGTGGAACCTCTACCAGAGAACTCTGGATGGAGAAGACCGGACAAATAATCACGCTGAGGCCGCCCATAGAAGACTCAAGATGGAATTGGGAGCAGATCATCCAACCATATGGAAATTTATAGATGGCCTGCGTCAGGTGCAGAAAGGTCGAGATGTCTATTTCGAGCAACTTGTGGCAGGTAATCTCCCACCATTGAAATTAAGAAAATACAGAGACGCAGATGATCGCATTTCACGGCTTGTGGGAAATTTTGATGCAAACGGGGATGTTTTAGAATTTTTAAGAGGACTAGCACATAATTATAATATGTAAGTAGGTACTTTATTTTAATTAATATTTCGTGAATAAGTTTTGTAGGTTAAATATAAATGTCTTGTATGTAAGTATAAATGTTTCAGAATTTTTAATTGGACTAGCACATATCTAATTATAACATGTAAATACTTTATTTTAATTAATATTTCGTGAATAAGTTTTGTAGGTTAAATATAAATGTTTTGTATGTAAATATAAATGTTTCAGGATTTTTAATTGGACTAGCACATATCTAATTATAACATGTAAATAATAACTAAAATAAAATATTCATTTTTCCAAAATCTTGTTTATTCATTTATTTATATATAATATCTACAGCTAGAAGCCAATTACAGATATTACATTAACTATGAGCTAAATAACAAGCACACACACATAAGTATAAAATTCACATATACAAATCTACCATTAATATTAAAATTTTGTGATCAATGGACTCCAATGTATCTATTTAAATAACTATATTAAAAGATTTTTTTCAAAATAATGTCTTACTAATAGACTCCAATGTAGGTATTTAGTCAACTAAAATAAAATCTCTGACGCCGAAATGGCCGACGCCGAAACGGCCTACGCCGAAACGGCTCTACGCCCAAACGGCCACGCCGAAATGGCCACGCCGAAACGGCGACGCCGAAATGTCCTAGACCCGGTATTAGGAGCTATAGAAAACAAAAATGATGTCAAATATACTTCAAATAACAATCGACTATGACGTTAATAGTTGTTTATTTTTATCGATGATAAAATTATTATTGAAAAGTTTTTATGAAGAAATCGATTTTATCAATCAAAAATTACACAATGTAGATGTCTATCTATTAAACCGGAATGAATGGAATATAAAATTATGCAGAAAACCAACATCGCAATTATACGTAAGGGTGGCCGCACACAGAAAGAGCAACACTGTTTTAGTCAAAAACGTTTTTATTTGAAACGAAAACGTTTTTGTTTCCACAAGAAACATTTTGTTTTCAAGAGAAACAAAATGTTTGCACAAACCATACTGCAATCAGTTTTATTAAAGATGTCGACAGATCACGACGAAATTGCACTAGTTTTCTGGCAGTGGTTCTTCCTACGGGACGAAAAAACGCAAAATAAAAGACAATTTTGGGTGTATCCTATAAATGAGAAAAGAACTGCTAAATAAACTCTCCAGTGTTTGCTCCAAGAATTAAGGGTCTTTTAATTGATAATTATATAAAGGTCTGGCCTCAATCACTACAATTAATTTTTCTGCGCCCACTTTCATGATACACGCAATATAAACAAGCAAAATATCGCTGTTTCCACATGTGCTTCTTGTTGACTACTCGAGCGGTTTCAAGAAGAGAATTCCAAAAATACGTTGCGCTTGCGTACATTGAAATGTTTCGACACAAAACGACGATCTGGTAATCAGCATCAGACTGACTGAAACTAAATGAGCTTACACATGCTTTAGACACACGACCTATTAGTGAGCGTCAGCTCATTTCATTTGCATGGAAACATTAGCATCAGACTCGTTTAGTCACAAACGTTTTTGACTAAAACAGTTTTGCTCTTTCTGTGTGCGGCCAACCTAAGTCAACGAACGATAAAAAATAAAACAAGTAGAAAACCTGTTTGTTTTTTGCTAGAATCCGCTGTTCGGAATAAAAAGGCGGTTTAAAACAACAAAAAAAAGTCAACAGAGATAGCAAACTTTAAGTCTTCTTTCAGACGGTACGATATTGTGTCGTAGTCGTGTACGGCAACAATATTGTGTATAGCAGTTAAGGCGGGTTGACACTTGGTCAAAGTCTGCTTGGAAGCTACTGTGTTGTGTCACCTGTTCATCCAAGCACAGTTGTATCAACAGGTTCTATCCAAGTTTAGTAAGACGCTGGCCAACTTCCTTGGATCCAAGTAGTGTGGTATTGTAAAATAAATATGGCGTCAGTGTCGAAAAATAGAAAACGAGAAGTAAATACAAAAAGAAAATGGTCTGAAATTGAGATTCACGGAGTTACACGAAGCTGAGGAAGCATTATGGAATGTGCGGACAAAGGAATGTAAAAAATGTGGATGCTAGAAATGCGGAATTTTTTCTTTTTTATTCCTTTTTTCTAGATTTCAAGCTCATGAACCAACATATAAGCAACCACTATAACACCTTCCACAATCACTTCAACCATATTTACAATGGTTATTTGACATCCAAGTTATATTTAACCGTGGCAACCAACTTGGTACAAGTACACTTGTACCAACCTACTTGGTCCAAAAGTACACTTGTACCAGCCTACTTGGTCCAAGTTGGAAGTTTTTGTAGAATAAAAAAAGTTTATAAAATATATATATAAAATATATTTAATAAAAAAACGTATATAAAATATAAAGTTAATAAAAAAACATAAATATATAAAATTTGCTTCGATACTAGTTGTAACTTGTAACAGTCCAGAATTAAAGTAAAAGTACTTCAAATTAAACAAAAACATTGCATAAAATACAAAAAAAAAACTTACCAAAATCAGCTAGTTTAACATCTCCCATTTCGCTAAGCAGGACATTCGCAGCTTTAATATCTCTATGTAATTTCCTTTCGCTATGTAAATAATCTAATCCCTTTAATACCTCTCTTAGAATTATAGCAATGTGCATTTCTTCGAAGTTTCCCGCTTTCATCAGATCTAAGGCTGACCCGCCACCCAAATATTCCATTATAATCCATAATTTTGTACCCTAAAAAAGTGAAACATAATGGTGTTGCTATACTTGCTTTATCATTGTGCAAGGGTACACAAAACTCTTGACAATCAATCATCAGTGCTTACCAATGAGTCAAATCATTTTTGTTTGTCGATTCATTGCACAACTAAAAATAATGATAACATGTGTAAGGTAACGATAAAAAAAACTATCTAGGAGAACTTAACACCAACGGATGAATTGTCAATAAATGATAATGGAACTTGGCGGCATATCGACAAAGAAATAGTCGAAGCCAAAGATGTAGTTACTGGAATAAAAATTAGACGTGCGTAAAATGGACGGTGTATAAGGATGCCAGGAGTACCGATTGATAGTGTGGTAAACTGTCACTAAACAGAAACCTAACTGTAGCGAGACTGAAAATCTCTGGTATGAAATTGATTGTGAAGATTACACATAAAAAGGATAGGGACGTGATATTTATGAGAACTCAAATTATGGTCTCTTATGTAGAAACATAATAAGCAGGAAATAACTCTAAACGTTAAACCAGCCAAAATGCATATTATACAGGTATATATGTAACCATCCAAAGCGGCAGAAGATATAGTAGAAAAAACATACAACCGGATACAAGAAAACCATCTCTAACATTCCTAAAAAAGAACAAATTATGATAGTAAACGATTGGAATGCAAAAATAAGAAAAACTAAAATAGATGACGATTTGAAAGGAACGATAGGCCAACGAAATGAACGAGGTGAACGGCTCCTTCAATTCGCCATCGATATGGATCTTAGTATAGTAAACACAATGTGCAAACATCATCAGCGGAGGAGCTCAATAATCAACGTGAAGACAAAACCAGCTGCAGACTGTGGTTCCGACCAGAAAATATTACAAGCAGAATTTCGCATTAAGTTTCACAGTAAAATAATCACAAATAAAAGACAAAAATTGATACCAAAACACCCGGAAAACCTCTCATCACTGAAGCCATCAACAATACTAACCCCAAAGACAAGGCAGCTGGTCTGGTCAAACCCAAAGTTATGATCATCAATAGAATCAGAAACAACCAACCAGAGATAAGAAACATGTTCAAAACAGCTGAAGAAGTAGAAGAGAAACTAGAAACTACCTTAAACATAATGAATGTAACTCTTATTGCATAGCAATAAACTACTCCTATGACAAAACACAAAAACCAAACAAAATTACATACCTTTAAGTAAGATCCATAATATTTTGTAACAAAGGGACTGTCACACTGCGACAGCACCATAATCTCCTGTTGAATATCTTCGATTTCATCTTCGGCTTCTTCTAAATCGATTATTTTGATAGCGACTACTTGCGTAGTTCTGTTGTCAATACCTTTAAAAACCTCTCCAAACGAACCCTTGCCGATTCTTTCTTGTTTGGTGAAAATCAATTCTGGATCGACCTTCTGCAAAAAAAATTAAGCATTATAAATATTTTGATTCCAGTTGGAGAACCAATCTTTAATGAATTGCTAAGATATTTAAAGCATTTAAAACCTAAATTAGAAATTCAAACACCCACGCTACTAACCTAAAAATCGAGACAGTATAAGGGGAGAATTTCGTATATAATAATGATATACCTATTGTTCAATTTTGGGGATGTGTAAGCAACTATTATATCTGAACTGTGGACCTAAAGGTCGATTCAGACACATCAGTCCCGTCACAGTCTCGGCGCCGAACCGGTCCTGTTTGGTCACAGAACTATCAACTATCTGACAGCTAGGAAATTGTTCGTCGCCTGATGAATGTGAATGCCAGCGCCATATTTCTATTAAAGAATATTTTGTATGACGGATTGTTCGGTTCGGCACCAGGACTGTGACGAGACGTGACTGATGTGTCTGAATCGAGAGTTGGAATTGTTGAACGGCGTTCTACTTTCTGTGCTTAGGCTCGAGAGATTTGCCGGCATTGAATTTATTTGGGGGTTATTAGAACATGTTTCTATTTAAAATGTTTTATTTTTCTTGGAAAATAAATGGAAAAAAATATTAATAGTTGGGTTTATTAATATTTTAGACTTTTTCTTTTATTTCTAGATTCAAATTTGCCTGAGTTATACAGCGAGCAGAAGAGCGCGTCATATTTATCATGTATAGGCGGCATCACCTTCTGTATTGTCATTGAATAAATAACTTTTTTAAACTTAAAACATAATTAATAATACCCCTTTCCTTCGTTAACAAAATCCCCAACAATGGGACCCCCTTTTTTTACACCAGAATATCAAGACACGGTTTTTACTATTTTATATTTATCATATTTATTTCATTTTTTGGTATGCATTAGGTTTTAATTATAAAAGATAACCAATAAAGGTAAACAATCAACAACGCCAGTGCAAAATTGCAAACTTTTTTCATCAACCTACAAAGTTCATTCGCGTGTCATGGAATAAATTGCACCTGGTAAAACCAGTAATGTTCGAGCGCGTCAAATTGAAATGCAAATGCGACTGCACAGGTGAATATTCCAACGTGATGGAAAATAAATATTACCTACCTATGTACTTTTTTGTATTAAAAATATTGGTGTTCTAGTTTTTGTAAAACAATATATAGCTGTGTAATAAATTTTGTATAAGATTTTAACAGAAATATATACGAAATCCATAAAAACTTTCATAAAAAAAAGCCAAAAATTATATGGTTATTACTCGTCATAAGAGACAAAAATGCCACAAAACCTTTAAAAATCGTACGAACAAGTTGAATTTTGCCGAGAATGTCAATTTTGGGATTAAAAAAAAGCAAAAAAAGTATAATACTTCTACTCTAGGGCTTTCCCCTAAAACCTCCATCAAAAGGGGGCGGAAAACACCGATTTTCCAAGAATATTTACGCCGTAGAACAAAAATGTTTCAAATAAAAAATGTGGCTGAGATAATTTTAAACAAAAATGTTAGCACTTTTTTTCTGTAGAATGAAAATGTTTCTTTCACAAACATTTTTAATAAAGCGATTGTTTTTCTTAGAGAATCTGACTAGTTTTACTACGTACTAAAATAGGTACTATGTACTTTTAAAGAAGTATTTTTTATTTTTGTAAGAGAAAAATATTATTATAGGTGAATAAAAGCGTTTTCATTGAATTATTTATGCTTTTATGAACTTTTACTACAAGGGTAAAAGCCCCACCAGTTGGAGACTTACCCCATTTTAAAGGGCGAATCCTCGCAAATGCTTTTTTGAATAAAACTCTGATTGTGTGGATAACTAAGGTTAAACACAGACAGGACGGTTTGCGCCACGTCTGCGCCTCATCGGCTGCCGCGCGGCTTAAAACACATTAGGCGGTTTAACAGCGCCAGTAGTTTTACCATTGTATTCGGTGGTGTCAAATTTAGTCGAATTTTGGACGTAGAATGGTATAATGATGCCTCTAGAATCATCTAGTGAAAGTGACGACGATTTGTTTTTCCTAATAAGTGCAAGTTTACTTCATATTAAAACAAAGAAGCAGAAGAAACGCAAGTATTGGATACATTCTATAGTAAATGAATGAAAAAATAAAGGAACGTTTTACACCTTAGTTAACGAAGTTAAAGATGGTCCAGAAAAGCATTTTTCGAAATAAAAGTGTCTTCCCAAGTTTGGTTTTTTCTTTATTTGATTCGAATAATTATCTGACCGCATATCCCAAATTGCTGTAGATATTTTCATATTAATTTTTAAAAATAGTTATCCGACTTATCACTACATTGATCTTCTTCTTCTTCTAGTTCCATGACCGTTATCGATCGTTGGATATCATGTTGGCTACCATATTCGCTATCGTGACTTTATTGACAGCAGCTCTAAATAACGATGTAGTTGATTTTCCATACCATTGCCTTAGATTTTTCAGCCATAATGTTCTTCGTCTACCAGGACCACGATTACTTTGGATCTTTCCCTGAATGATCAGATGTAAAAGATCATATTTTTCATGGTATCTCATAATGTGACCGAAGTATTCCAGCTTGCGCTTCTTTATTATATGGACCAGTTGTGTTGTTTGGTTCAGCCGTCTAAGGACCTCCTCATTTCTAACTCTGTCGACCCAGCTTATTTTCAGTGGTCGTCTGTATACTCACATCTCAAAGGCTGTCAAGCGTTTAAGCGTAGCCTCAGTTAGAGTCCACGCTTCCACTCCATACAGCAGGACAGGAAAGATGTAGCAAGATGTCATACGAACTCTAAGGTCAATTCTAAGATCATTTTTACACAGGCAGCTCGGGCTTGTTCTATTCGGCTTTTAATTTCTGCGGTTGGATCCCAGCTCTCATTGATATTACTGCCGAGATACACGAGTTTCTCTACTCTGTCCAGTGTGGCATCTCCGACTTTTATACCGTCATCCTGTATATAATTTTGTTTGCTAACTATCATATATTTAGTTTTCTTAACGTTGAGTTTTAATCCATACTGATCACAAGTCTGTTTTATTGTGTTCATTAGATTTTGAAGGTCTTCTCCGCAATTGGCAAGGATTAAGGTATCGTCGGCATATCTAATATTGTTGACGGTTACTCCATTCACAATAATACCTTCGGTTTTCTCCATTAAGGCTTTCTTAAATATTTCCTCCGAATATAAGTTAAAAAGTAAAGGCGACAATATACAGCCTTGTCTCACTCCTCTTTTTATATTTATTTCATCCGACAGTTCTTATTCAACCTTTATTCTTGCCACTTGATGCCAGTATAGATTTGTAATTATTTGCAGATCTTCATCGTCAAATCCAGCTGTTTCCAATATTTCTAGCATTTTGTTATGTCGGACTTTGTCAAAAGCTTTTTCAAAATCGATTGCACAAATGTCCACATTTTGATTTATATCTCTGCATCTCTGTACTAGCACCTGTATACTAAACAAGGCTTCTCTTGTACCCAAGCCACTCCTAAACCCAAATTGAGTATTGCTAATTCTGTCCTCTAACAGCGTGTAAATTCTGCTGTGTATTACTCGCAGGAACATGTTCAAAACGTGACATACTTTCGTGACATACAACGTTTCTTAACGTTGAGTTTTAATCCATACTGATCACAAGTCTGTTTTATTGTGTTCATTAGATTTTGAAGGTCTTCTCCGCAATTGGCAAGGATTAAGGTATCGTCGGCATATCTAATATTGTTGACGGTTACTCCATTCACAATAATACCTTCGGTTTTCTCCATTAAGGCTTTCTTAAATATTTCCTCCGAATATAAGTTAAAAAGTAAAGGCGACAATATACAGCCTTGTCTCACTCCTCTTTTTATATTTATTTCATCCGACAGTTCTTATTCAACCTTTATTCTTGCCACTTGATGCCAGTATAGATTTGTAATTATTTGCAGATCTTCATCGTCAAATCCAGCTGTTTCCAATATTTCTAGCATTTTGTTATGTCGGACTTTGTCAAAAGCTTTTTCAAAATCGATTGCACAAATGTCCACATTTTGATTTATATCTCTGCATCTCTGTACTAGCACCTGTATACTAAACAAGGCTTCTCTTGTACCCAAGCCACTCCTAAACCCAAATTGAGTATTGCTAATTCTGTCCTCTAACAGCGTGTAAATTCTGCTGTGTATTACTCGCAGGAACATGTTCAAAACGTGACTCATCAGGCTTATTGTCCGATAATCACCGCATGTCTTTGGACGATGTTTCTTAGGTATTGTGACAAATGTCGACTTTAACCAATCAGTTGGTAATATTCCAGTGCCATAAATTCTGTTAAAGGGATTACACAGAGCTTTAATTCCATTTTCTCCCAAGAACTTTAGTATTTCAGCACTTACTTCATCGGGGCCAAGTGCTTTTCCATTTTTTGCCGTTTGTATTGAACGTCTTACCTCACTTTCTGTTATAGATGGACCTGATATAGCAATCGGTGTATAGTGTTCTACTGTCTCATCTTCAAATAATTCAGAAATGTAGTTTTCCCATTCTTTTAACTTTTCATTGATGTCTAATATTCTGTGTCCGTTTCTGTCTTCTAAACTTTGGGATACTTGTTTCCGTTTGTTTTCAGCGACCTCTTTTAATTTCTTGTGCAGATGAAATGTATCTTGTTTCTTTTCATATTGTTCAATTTCATTACATTCTTTACTATGAAAGTTTTCGCGTGTCTTATCTTCTGCCTGATTATTGCGTGGATCCTCTTGTATTCGTTTTTATCTTTATTTCTGACTTCTCTTCTTTGATCCATAAGTCTCAGTATTTCTTCTGTCCACCCTTGTTTTTTTCTTGCTTTTAGCGCACTTAATTTTGTTTCTTGAAAAGTCTTCAAGATGTGACTACATTGATAATAGTAAAAATTGCTGGGCTTTTCCCCTAACTACCATACGGAAATGTAACGACTACAATATAGTAGTGAGACTATGAGCCACCAACATAAGTTGCTGAACATCGCAAAAACTAAACCAAAATAT